AACCTCTTTAACAAGTGGTGCTGAGAAAACTGGTCAACCACTTGTAAAAGAATGAAACTAGAACACTTTCTAACACCATACACAAAAATAAACTCAAAATGGATTAAAGATCTAAATGTAAGACCAGAAACTACAAAACTTCTAGAGGAGAACATAGGCAAAACACTCTCTGACATAAATCACAGCAAGATCCTCTATGACCCACCTCCCAGAATATTGGAAATAAAAGCAAAAATAAACAAATGGGACCTAATGAAACTTAAAAGCTTTTGCACAACAAAGGAAACTATAAGCTAGGTGAAAAGACAGCCTTCAGATTGAGAGAAAATAATAGCAAATGAAGTAACAGGCAAAGTATTAATCTCAGAAATATACAAGCAGCTCCTGCAGCTCAATTCCAGAAAAATAAATGACCCAATCAAAAAATGGGCCAAAGAACTAAACAGACATTTCTTCATAGTATTTTTAAAATAATTCCATTACAGATAATGGTATGGTTAAGTAGAGACAGGTGAACCTAACCAGTACACAATGAAATTATTGTGTACTGAAAAACTGTTGCAGGTTCCAAACACTTCCATTAGAAATGAACGTTTGGAAAATGACCTGCTTCTAAATTGAGGTTTTGGGTACAGCTGGGTCAGGTTGCAACAGAATGTAGTGGAAAGTAGACTGGTCTTGGAGTCAAAATGTCTGTGCCACTTACTTTGCTAAGTCTATGAGATTCTCTCTCATCTTTTCTTGAATAGGATCTGTAGCATCTGCTCTAGATTCTTTGCAGGCATTCTGAAAATTGATAGAGCACTATGCGAAATGAATTATCTAACAGAATGATGGCAGAGGGTTATATTCAGTTATAGTGCAAGGTGATCTTCTATTGTAGTTATTTGTGTGTTAGAAAATTAAAATTTTATACTTCCTTCAACAACTGTAACATTGTATATGGACAATATGTACAACCATTTAAGTAAGTCAAAGGAAAGCTATTCTTTTTAAATGCACAGTTTTCAATAGTTTGTGTCTATGTTTGTAGCATGACTACAGCATGTGTGTTTATATAGAAATGGCTGCTTGCCTCATTAGCATGAGGCTAATACACATTGTGATTATTTTGTCTCATAGAATGATTGAAGATAGTGGGAAAAGAGGAAATACCATGGCAGAAAGAAGACAGCTCTTTGCAGAGATGAGTAAGTATGAAACTTTGAAGGAACACCCTACAGTGTCTATTGAATACTCAGGGAAAGACCTGGAAATAATTACTTAATCCTTATGGCATTTGTACTTTTCCTTAAAATCCTAAATTCTTTACAGAAAATGTTTGTTTGGGAATTTTTTGCCTCCTTTTAGGTAAGAATTAAATTAGTTAATGAGTCATCATAATTTGTTATTAGGACTGTATATCTTATATGAAAAAAAAAGATTTGTGAACCTAAATATGTATATACACACAGACGCTTAATAAACACTATTTAATGTTGGCATTAATATAATCAACTACACTTCAAAGTCTGTGTTCATTTCCCCACGCTATCACAGAGGCTGGCACATTGCAGGCACTAGATAAAATTATTGAAATGAATCAGTGAATGACTTACTTGCAAAATGATATCATATGCTTATATGGGAAAGAGAAGTCAGGCATGATTACCAGACAAAACTAAAGCTATCATTTGAACTTCATGCCAAGGGGAGAAGCTGTCCTACAAACTAGTTTCTTAAAAGTGAAAGGGAAAACAAAATTTAAAAGAGTTTGGAGGTGACCTGCTATACAAGGAAAACCGAACCACTGACTCCAGTGGAGAACTCATTAAAGGTTGTCAGTTTATGTAAATACAAGATTGCTGTGTAAGTAATTAGGTGGTGGTATCTCCTTCTATACCATTTTTCTTATTCATAAGGAAGGAGAACTTGACATGAGGAGGGAGGAACTCACATCTCAAATTAAGTGTTATAAAGAAAAAAAGTATAGTTCTCTTATTGCCTTTTTATCTCTCATTCTCTGCATCAGGAATGAGGAAGAGCAGAACTGAGTCATAAGCCTTTTACTCCAAGAAGGCAAGAGACAAAATTAGGTTTCTACTGGAGATTGGAACTGATTGGCAAGAATGAGGGTCAGGACAGATAAAGGAAAGCCCCAGATAATAAGATTCACATTTTTCTTTATCATTTCCCAATAATCTGGAGTCCCCAAGACAGCGTATGAACTAACAAAGAGGAAAGAAAATTAAAATTGATGTGGGGAATCTCAATCGCACTCCTTGCTTTTTCCACTTTTAGAAACATGTCTGAAGTGCCTGTGACAGTTTCAGTCGTGACCTTCCAGTTTCCTGGGCTGTGTAGCTTCACTTCTGGCCTGACCAGTCACCTGGAACTGTGACCTCTGTTGATACGAATCTAACAGAGGAAGGAACCTAGTTGCTACCTGCCCATCTAAGCAAAATCCAGACTAGTACAGGTGTCTTCTTGTATCATAGCTTCTTAGACTGAAGAGGCAAGAGCCATATAGATCATAATAGTAGTAGTGTTGGTCGCTCAGTCGTGTCTGACTCTTTGCAACCCCATGGGCTGTAGCCCGCTAAGCTCCTTCTGTCCATGGAATTCTGCAAGTGAGAATACTGGAGTGGGTTGCCATTCCCTTCTCCAGGGGATCTTCCCAACCCAGGGATCAAACCCGGCTCGCCTGCATTGCAGGCAGACTCTTTACTGTCTGAGCCACTAAGGAAGCCGTATGTATGTTGACCAGGGGCCAGTGTTTTGTCAGAAAAAGAAAAAGTATTAATATTTAACAAAGAAAAGCAATAAAGTCTTAGGAGAAATCTTTAAATTTATCTTTGTTACATTAAAGACTGTATCAGCCAACAGACTGTAAGAATTATGAAAGTGTTCTTATGTCATGATTTTGAAAACATTTATCTGAATTTCAGTACATTATGCCAGCTCCTCCTGCACCTGTTGTGGTGCCTGGTACAGACAGACACATATGTCATAGACGCCTTTCAAATTAAAGTTGTCCAACTCAAAGAAAGATTGACATAAGTTTTATATCCATAGGGACAGAAAAGCTGTAAATTTTTCAAGCAAGAGAGACTAGGAAAATTGTGCATTCATTTCCCAAATTGTAATTTAACCTTTCATAGAAACTTGTCAGAAGGTCATGCAGTATATTAAATCATTTTGAGTTCTCCTGATGAGTGATCAAAATAGTTAAGCAAGCCACACAGATATGTATCTTTCTTCCTTTCTTCCTCTCTTCAAAAGCAGGTAAACACATCTGACTTGAACAATCCATTAGTGAGCATCATTTTCAGGTTAACACTAAATAGGACACACCTACAGTAAGTGGGATTCTGCCAGATAAAACAATTGACTGATTTCCAAGAGAGCCATTGATTTTTTTTTTGAGACATTGATTTTGATAGATTGTCAGACAAAAGAAAAAGGTAACCTCATTAAGAAAGTGTTAAATATTGAAAACTGTATGGGTTACCCCACCTCTATCAGCAGGACACCAAAGAAAGACAAGGAAACTATGATCAGAGAAGATTGACATTGAAACTTGGAAAGTAACTTCTTCCAGAATCTGTGATGTCTAGACAGAGAGCTTAAAAAAATGGAGGAACTGATTAAATCTGGTCAGCTAAGCATGACTTAGAAGCAGTGATTTTTCAGACATGGAAGAAGTAGTGATTTTTCATACAAGGAAGTAGTGATTTTTCAGACATGGAAGGAAAGTACCCAAGAGATTCTTGGTTTTGGAAATTACAGATGTCACAAACGTAAAAAAAGGAGTTAAGAAGGCAGGGAAAACTTTTTTAAGACTCTTGCAGAGGGGAGAGAAGTGGAACTCAGCTCTACCAGAACCAAAGACAAGAGGGTTTCTAAACTCAGGGGTGAATCAAAGCAGACGGACTGGAAGATATCAGAGGGTCATTGTGGTCACTGACACACAGTGGTCATTGTCACAGTGAGAAGGTTAGGCGTCTACCCTCCCACAGAGACTAGGAGGTCTTCAAGATTTCATTTCCATGGTGTGGCTTCCAGTCCTTAAGAAAGGGGTGTGTGTGTGTGTGTGTGTGTGTGTGTGTGTGTCTATGTGTCTTCTGTCACGCAGTTCTCCGTAGTATCCAACTCCCTGAGATCCCATGGACTGCAGCCTGCCAAGGCCCACTGTCCATGGAATTTTCCAGCCAAGAATATTGGAGCAGGCTGCCCCATTTCCTTCTCCATCGAAAAAGATATTTCTGGGCAAAACTGGCAAAAGTCTGGGAGGTTTACATCTTTCAAGGGACAAAGAATTTACAGAGGAAATTTTCTAAAGTAAATGCTCTAAGAAAAGAGAGATCAAAGACCTAGAGAAAAAAGAAACCCATCTAAAGGTTAGTCAAGCGGAGGGGAACCTTATAAAAACCAAAGAGCAGAGAACAGAATAACAGTTGATCAGAAGGACAACTGATAAGAAATTTTGGCAAATTCAGGTGATTGTAGCACATACTTGTGTTAAACATCTACTCTGAGCTCATAGCCACAAGCGACAGAGGCAAAAAAAAAAAAAAAAGACAGACAAAATTAAGAGTAGTATGGACTCACAAATAAGCCAAAAAACAAAACAAAAAAATCTCTGTGGCCACATACTTTGATTAAAGAAATTTGGGGCAAGTTGCCCTAAACTAAAATTTCCCCTCAGCATAATGCCCTAATTATCTGTTTACTTGGTACCTTAGATTAAAGTTTAAAAGGCTCCAGTTATATGTAAATGCCGTTCTCACCTCGACCTTTTCCACCATCAGATAAGTTTATCAGCTCAAATAAATTTAACATACTGGCTTTTAGCAGAGTAAATTGTTTGCACTTGGAATCAAACTCCCTTTCTTCTCTTTTTCTGCTGAGGGCACATTTACTCTGCTTTTGTGTGACACTTACTTGTGAACATGTCTGTGTCAGCTCACTCACATAAACCCCTCCCTCGGGACAGACCCTGGACCTTTGCCTCCAAACCCATTCGCCTCAGATGCTGAATCAATGTTGGTTTAAAAGCCTCAAGGCACAGGATAGGTAGGTTTTAATGACAAGGAAATGATTAAGAAACACTCACTCAGAAAATGGAAGGCCACCTAATCTGATGAGGAAAGTTCTGGGAAGAAAGCAGAGTGATAACCACTGGGCTCTGAGTGAAGGCAGGACCAGAAACCAAAGGGAGGCAAATGGAGGTGCTCAACAAACACTGCGGAGTGGTTCAAAGACAGACACTCCTTCAGAGTGCTGACAGCACTCAGCTTGTGCATAGCTGGAATGGGGCCTAGAGCATGATTTTGCAATGCACACTACAAGTTTTAGGGAAAACAACTTCACAAATTCAGGAAAATGGCATGAATGATCCCACTCCCATAGACCATGGTGGATGCAGGGACTATTTTCACTTGCATCTTCATTTCTCATGCTCTTCAGCATCATTGGGATGTCAAGTCCATGGGTCATCATCCTGGAAGTGCCCCCTTTTATGTCACCTCCGTAGCCTGGTCTCCTGATTCTTCTGATCTGTTTCTCTTTTTCTATCTCTTAGTAGCCTTCAGGCTCCCTGAAGCTCAGATTTTAACCTAAGTTTTGCACTTGACCAATTCTCTCCCTGTACAGAGTGACTTCCCCCAAGCATTCACCATTATTGTTATGGTTCTCAAGTGTTCGAGGAATGCTTCAAAACCACTTCCCATGTCTCAGAAACCAGCTTACCCAGAATAGTCAGTATGTTTAGTGTCAGCTTCCCTGGTGGCTCAGTGGTAAAGAATCTACCTGCCAAGGCAGGAGACTCAGGTTCAATCCCTGGGTCAGGAAGATACCCTGGAGAAGGAAATGGCACCCCACTCCAGCATTCTTCCCTGGGAAATCCCATGGACACAGGACCCCGCCAGGCTAAGGTTCATGGGATCTCAAATGATCAGACATGATTTAGCGACCTAACAACAACAAGGTCAATTTCCCTGCCAGACTTGGCTCCTCACTGTCAAAGCTTCTGCTGATGAATCACCTTGAGGTGAGCCTACCGTTAGCTCCACTAACTCCTCATCATGACAAAGCCAACCAGCGTTCCACCATGGCTGCCACAGTATTCCCAAAGCCACACAGGCTTTGAATGATGACCGAAGGTGCTGTTAGAAGCAGGGAGGAAATTTCTAGCCCCAAACCTGGGCCC